TTCCTGCTGTACTCCACCGCATCCCAGATCTGAGAAGTGCTTCCACGTGGCAATTCTCCCAGGAAAAAGGTACTCAGCCAAGAGTGGACCATGCGCCTCACAGGGGACCCTTCCACCCTGCATGGACATGACCCTGTAGATAGCCCACCTGGCCAGCAGGCTCACTCCCTCCAGGAAGGTCTCACTGTCCTCCAGGAGGCCCCACACAGCCTGTTCCTCCAGGGCCTGCACCAGGCGCTCACTGGCAGCTCTTCTGAACAGGAGCTGCATGGACTTGATCGTGATCCTGGAGGAAGGTGGGAGCCCGTGATGTGGCTGCCCTCTGCAGCTCGCCCAGGGGAGGGCTGGTCCAGTGCCCAGGGGGAGGGCTGGCCCAGTGCCCAGGGGGAGGGCTGGTCTGGTGCCCAGGGGAGGGCTGGTCTGGTGCCCAGGGGAGGGCTGGTCTAGTGTGCAGGGGAGGGCTGGTCCAGTGCCCAGGAGAGGGCTGGTCCAGTGTGCAGGAGAGGGCTCGTCCAGTGTGCAGGAGAGGGCTGGTCCAGTGCCCAGGGAAGGGCTGGTCCAGTACCCAGGGAAGGGTTGGTCCAGTGCCCAGGGGAGGGCTGATCCAGTGTGCAGGAGAGAGCTGACCCAGTGCCCAGGGAAGGGCTGGCCCAGTGCCCAGAGGGAGGGCTGGTCCAGTGCCCAGGGAAGGGCTGGCCCAGTGCCCAGGGGAGGCTGGCCCAGTGCCCAGAGGGAGGGCTGGTCCAGAGGATGGCAGGCCTGGGGAAGGACTGGCCCAGGGGGAGGGCTGACCCAGGGAAAGTGCTTGCCCAAGGGGAGGGTTGATCTGGGGGAGGACTGGCTGAGGTGGGGGTGGAGAGAAGAGAGCTGGCATCGTCACACTCTGGGTCACTGCACTCCCACCTGAGAGGCAGGGTTCCCCAAACCTGCCGGTGTAGCCCACGGGGCCGAGGTGGCACTCATGGGACAGAGCTGAGTCCACAAACTCTGAAAACCACTCCATGCCAGACACATGAGGAGGATCGATCAGCTTCCAGGAATTTCTCTTCCTCAGCAAGAGGGAGGGCCCCTCACTGGAGGGGACTCATGGAGCCCAGCGGTTTTTGGAGGCCAGCCCAGACCTGCTCCCTTGTAACTTCTGGTACCTTCCACCTGCCCTCCTGCCCACCCACACTTCACAGCACCTGTGCAGGTTCATCTCCTCGGGCAGGGGCCCCGTGTGGACCAGCCTCCACGTCTTCAGGATCGGGGAGGTGACCTCGGGCCGGTAGTCGCTGCTGAGTTGCAGCAGGAGGGTGTAGACGAGGTCGGAGAATAGGTCCATGAGCTTGTCGTCACAGGCCGTCTTCTCAATGAGAAGGTGGATGGTGCACAGGGTCTGCAAACAGAGGGTCTGGGGGCGTCGGGGCTCCTGCTCTGAGACCCCTGAGGAGCCCTGGGACCTACCCCTGCAACTCACCATCAGGGGGTCCACCGCGGCCAGGCGCCAGATGTCAGCCTTGGAGGTGGCGTTCACCTTGGGAGTGAACCGCGACTGCAGCCGGCCCATCAGGCTGTGAAGCATGGTCCGCGCAAAGGGCACGTTCTCTGCCACGGCCAGCCAAACCTCCTTCAGGTGGCTGGCCAAAGACAGGGCACAGGACTGTGAGTTTCCTGCCAGGGCACATGCAGGAAAGAATCCCTTCTGACCCCTCAGCATGCCCTTCTTGGGGCTAAGTCTCAGGAGGAGAGAGAGAGCCACCAAGGTTGTGTAAGGAGAAGCAGGGTGGGTCTCTGACCCCACACTCAGCCACCTTTCACGCCTATGGCCCTCCTGAAGAGGTAACTTAATATGCCCGTACAGAGGCTCGGCGAGGTGAGAATCTAGTAGGTTCTAAAGGGCTAATGCAACAAATATAACAAGATTGAATTGAACAGAGAAGTGCAAAGTGCCCATGGGAACACAGACCAAAAGTATGTGTACAGGTCAGTTTGGGCTAGGGGAAGGGGACACGCGAGGGCTAGTGGTGGGATCAGGAGAGAGACGAGCACAATGCCTGCATTAACGCCAAGGGCAACAAAGCCATGAGTGTGAGGAGACAGGAAAGTAGGCTTCTCACTCTATCAACAGCACGGAAATGGATAATACCAACCACTGGGTGAGCTAGGAAAAGGTCCCTGGGCTCTGGAACGTGGCCACGCTCCTACCTGGATTGTAGCCTGTGTGACCTAAACAGAGGAGACCGTGCCCAGCCTGACCACAAAAACTGTGTGATAATATGTGGGTGTGTTCTAACCTTCTTTGTTGGTGTTTGTTATGCAGCAATAGCTGACCAATACAGATTTTGGTGAACAAGTAAAAGCCAATCTGATGTGGCCACCAAGAATGACAGCCAAAGCAGGGGCCACACTGATAGGACTGCCTGCTGTCCCCCACCCACCCATTCCAGCACTGCCTGAAAGCCACTAAACCTCATTAGGTCACAATATTTGCCCTGCCCTCCACCTGGGCCCCCGGCCAGGCTGTGTTGAGGAGCAGCTCCATGGAGGAGCCACATTTGCACTTCACACAGGGGTGCAGATGGCTCTGAATCGAGGCCTGTTCAAAGCTCCTTTCTCTGACCACAGAGTGACATCTTCCGGTTCTGACTACTCCAGCACGGGCTCAGCTGCTCGGGGGTGACTGTGTCCCCCTTCCTGGGCCCTCTGTAGATGAATGCCAAGGCCTTCCCAAACATCTGCCCACCTGGTGAGAGCCTGCCCAGATACCGGCACTGCTGCAGCACACAGGACTGTGGTACTGCTGCAGAGATAATGCTGAGGAGGAGGGTGTGGCCACCTGATGGCTGTACGTCGGTCCATTCTGTCCCTGGGGGACGTGGCCTGCCCTCCCAGGCCACACTTTGAAAGACATGACCGATTAGAGTATCTGCAGAGGCCTGCTCAGACCCTGAGAGCCAGGTCCTGTGGCTTATCTGCTCAGAGCTCTGTTCTCTACAGGCAGAGATATCAGCCATGGGGAGATATTGGACTCTGGGGACACTGTCCCAGAAGGGCTACCAGGACACATGAGGCCCTGCAGGATCCAGACGCCAGCTCGATACGATGAAGCTATCAAGTCTGGGATCTGGGTCAGTGGTTCACTGGAGGCTGTGCCTCATCTCATATAGGAGAGACAGACAGAGGCTTTGGGCCTCCACCAGGTGGGACAACGCACCGCCCAAGGCCCCAAGTGCCGGGTCACGTCAGGGGTGAGTTGAGCATGGCCTGAGCTGAGTGGGAGGGCACACCGTCTCCCCGGGCACCCACCTCTCCATGGGCAGGGGCTGCCGCAGGAGGGCCGTGAGGACCGTCTCCCGGTGGTAGTGCGCCAGCAGGAGGATGCCCTCGATGAGGAGGCGCCGCACCTCCAGGTGGTCCACCACGGGCAGGTGGACCAAGATGGCGCCCAGGATCTCAGCCACCTGCCAAGGGGGTAGGGCGTCAGCAGGGCAGCGTGGGCCCCCATGTAGGCCCTTTCCTCCAGTGACTCTTAGCCAGCGGGACAGTGGGTAAATCAGCTGTACCCTCTACAGCACTTCGTTCGGGCTCTTCCTTGAACTCGTTTGATCTGGTTTCTGGTGTGGGAGGTGCGCTCTGGGAGAGAGAGCCTCGGGCTCCTGTCCACTAACTGACTGGGTCACCTTCAACACCTTTCCTCCTTGTTCTAGAGCTCTATTTCCTCCTCCTAGTCAGCAAGTAGGGGCTTGGGGGAGGAATTAGCAAGTGCAGTGGGGCCCTCGCCCTGCCTCTCAGTGCACCAGGTCACGTGCCCCACACCAGCCCTGCATGGCTCTGACACCTTGTCCTCCAGCTCCTTGACCCGCATCTGAAGGAAGGTGCTGATCCAGGTGACAGACGCCTTGTCGTGCCGCAGGTCCATGGCTCCAATGTTCTCACAGAGCTTCTGGATGAGCGAGACCACCTCGTCGCAGTTAAACTCCATGCAGACCACCTAGGACCAGAGCAGGCTGGTCCTGAGGCCTGCAGACCAAGTCCCAGGCCACTGCCCTTGCTCAGGGGAGTCGGTCCCCACCTCGGCCTTTCCCCACTGCATGGCCCAGCCCAGCCCCTGCCAGCCTCCCTGCCAGTCTCTGGTTGCCCAGGCGTGGCCCCAGCCCAGACCCCTTCTTTATTTCAAAGGGCTTCCTCAGTCACTGGTCCGGACTCAGAGGGCTTTTGGAGGTCCCCTCCTCTCCCACTCTGCATTGGCTCCCCTCCCCCTGCCCCAACCCCTCCCTGTCCTCTCTCCACTGCCCTGCGGCCTTCACACAGGGCATGTCCTAAGCTCTTATGTCCTTCCCTTGTCCTGCCACTCCACAAGCCCCCCTTGCTGCAGAAAGCCTCCTCTACCCTCCCCACCCCTACCAAGGCAGAAGAGCCCTTGCCCTCTTGAATCCTAAGCCCTGTTTGTGAGGTTCTCAATAAGGGCACTGATTAGGGTGACATTAGTGTGCCTGGTGCCAAGGCCCATGTGCAGGGCCCATGTGACCCATTCCCACGGCCCCTTCATGCTCAGTGCAGCATGTCTCAGGGACAGGAGAAGCAGTCAGGGAACATGAAGCCTACAACGTGCCAGGAACCACCGCAGGGACCTGGCCTACTGGAGGCCTTTTCACACAGGTGGCATCAGCTGCCCAAAGGTTGTTCAAGCAGCGACCAGCCAAGGAAGTACCCACCACCACGGATGGCCCGGGCACCAAGGCCGGTGTAGCAGCCCACCAGGCTCCCTAGCTCGTCACCTTGGCGATTCTGGAGGACGCACAGAACACCTTCTCCTCGTCGGCGCCCTCGAGGTCCTCCTTGCATCTCTCAAGCTCCTTCTCCTTGGATGTGCCCCATGAGGAGCAGGTCTGGCTCGCTTTGGGGACACGGTTTCAGACATGGTCAGCGAGGACACAATCTGGCCACGGCACTTCCCAGCACCGCCTGCCCTGACCACCGTCCAGCATCTGGACACCCGTCCCTTTGGGCCTCTGCTTCATGGCTCCTTCTACGCAGCCAGCCTCTGCCCACACACTTCTACACATGGCTTGGTGCCTGCACCCCACAGATCAGCTCCAGCCAGTGCTGCCAGGTCCCGGTAACTGCCAGCCGAACTTAGCCCAGTGAGGCCCCTCAGTGCCCACTACATGCCCTCAGCGAGTCTAACGAGTGGCTCCCTCCAGAAGCTTCAGTGGCCTCTCGGTGAGCTCCGCTCCTCTGCTCCCTCTGCTGGTCACCCTTGTCTCTGGGCCTGTCTGCTCAGAGAGGCCATGCTTCCCTCCAGGGCAGGCCTGCAGCCAGAGCCTCTCATCAGCCCCCATGTCGCTCCTTCCCCATACCGTGAAGATCTAACAGACTGGACAGGACATCGGTAGAGGCCATGCGGGTTCTTTGGTGAGTGTCGCAGGTGCACGGGACGATGAGTCCGACCAGCATTCCAAACTGCCCCAGCTTTAGGGGGATCTGAAAGACAGGCGACCTCCAGCTCACCCTCTGTCCTCTCATGTGTGCTTGGGGTGACTAAAGAAGATGAACCCTGCTCTGACAACACCCGTCTGGGGAGGGGAGGCTGCCACCACCCTCCTCCCATCCAAAATGTCAGCCTCTCCAGTCCCAGCTGGGACCTTGAAGGCTATCGGCCAGGATTCAAGGAGTTTCAGCTCAGGGCTGGCCTGAGTCATCTCGGACCTGGGCCCAGTTTCTACATCCGGGGCCTGCCTGCTCCTGTAACAAGCCGAGTGACCTGGGCAGGTTATTCCACCTCACAGTCTCATGTTCTCTGTCCATCAAGCAGAGATAATGTGGCACCTCCCCTTCCAGGGAATGTGCCCAAATGTCACTCAGCATTTGCCTGCCCAGCCTTGTTTTGCCGAGCCTCCATCTCCACCTCCACTCAGGGGCATCAGGACCAGGGTCCTGCCTGGCCTGCCCTCGCCATGCACCACTCCCAAGACAGCATCCCTGAGGACAAGGCCATCAGTGAGTATAAAGCCAGCAAGTGTGAGAGGG